TTTTTTAGAACACCGGTAGACGGCTCCATTACAGACGGACATGTGTGTTTGTTGTTCCAGCAGCAGCTCGGTCACACACTAATGTCATTAGTTTGTTATCATTACTGAGCTGCAGGACTGATTTTTCCCCTCCCCCTTTTTTTTCTACATCATGTCTCCTGCCTGGATCTGTTACTAACTCGCTCTGCAGCACAGAGGACTGTCACAGGTGAGCTCGTTTCAACTGCTTTTTACGACGCTTTCTCATTTCCGGACTCAATAATTTTGCCGATATTTCAGTTAAAATACATAAGTAAAAATATTTATCCGAGTATAATACTACCCCCCAACTTTATGGATGATTTCAAGGATTAAATTTAATGTATTATACACAAGTAAATACGGCAACTCTCATTCAGTGAGTTCTAACCCAAATAAAGTTTCAAGTATCATCATCAAGCACTATATTATTTTATTTTAWACACTGTATTGATCTCCCGGTGGGGAAATTAATTCTCTGCATTTTACCCATTGCACATGTGAACACATGTGGTTAAAGGGCCTTGCTCAAGGGCCCARGGTGGGGCTGGTTGGTCCGGGGAGTTGAACTAGTGACCTTCTGATCACAGACTCACCTTCTCTAACCTCTGTGCCACCCCTCTCCCCAATGATATTGTTGCTTTCAATTCATTAAAGAACAAAATGATAAAAAATGCCAAATTTTGTTCTCATAAAACAGCAGTTAGAAATAAACTGAAACGTTGTCGTTTATGTTGTAAAAAGTAGTTTCTGATTTCAGCTGACCTCCTTCAGGRGTGTTGAACTCTTGGGGTTTGGAGGGAGGACTCTCTCCTTTTTTGTTGAAAGCGGTGAGCCACAGTTGATACTGAGAGAACAGACGTAAACCACTCAGCTCCTTAGAGGTGCCGGTGCCAAGAACCTCCACCACCCAGCTGTCCTTCTCTCTCAGTTGTTGGTGTTGCATTCTGTTGTTTTCCTCCCTGTGGTGATGTTTGCTGAGAGACCTCCTGTCTCTTCCACTCGCCGGACCCAACCGCCTGATGTATATCTGACACAAACACAGAGCAAAGATGAGACTTTCTGCAGAGATGTTTTGCCAGTAAAATTGTCAGAACTGGTACCTTGTATCCCAACAGCTGACCTCGAACCCTCTGGGCTTCATTCCATGTAACTCTGACTGTGTTGTTGGTTACAATGCATGTAACTCCAGTGGGGGGCTCCTCTGGCTCTGAGACAGTGAAACAAAAAATAAAAAATCAGGGTTTCTGCCAAAGTCAAATTTAAGACAGTTTTTTTTAAACAATTTTATTTCCATTGAAAAGGAATTCATAGGTTGCATGATTTTTAATGACATTTAAATTAAACACAAATTTCTTCTTTTGTCTGTCCTCTCTTCAGAGGTTGACACAGAGAGTCATCCTCCATCTCACTCTGCCCTTTGCAGCCTCCGTCTTCACTTCAACTAACTTCATGTTTTCTAACAGCATCCATTTATCTCCTCTGTTTCCTATCAGACTTTTACTTACAACTTTTACTTAATGTTTTGTTAGTTCCAACTAATTAGTTTGTGTTCTGAGTCTCAGTTTTTTTTTTTTTTTGTTGTTGTTTGTTTCTTTCAGCTGGTCTACTACTTTAAAGGGATCCCCGATAAGTTGCAACATTAGACTTTATTTAAAAAACATTTATTTTTACTGTAAAATAAAGACTGTAAAAACACTGTAGGCTGTTCAGTTTTGTAAACTTTTATAAATATATTTTACGACGGACAGAGCCATTTTATTTCCACACAAAACATTCTGGGTAAATGATGACGTGGATAGGTCCTCGGTGCGAGGC